CGGCCACCAATGGGTTAAGATAGTGGAGGAATGGTAGGACTTTGTCCCTATCTCCGCACGTGTCACCGATGCCGCCGCCGTGGCCGCATCCTGCGTAGCTTTATAAACAATTTTGAATTTTGCGGTTGTGCGAAAATTAATGGATGCCTCGCTCTTGTGCGGTTTTTGGCTGCGCTTCCAGACACGCCCCCTTGGCGCTCCTCCGCCCCCTGGCAAATTTTAGCATTTTGTCATTAGCGTTTGCTTTCCGAAAACGAGATTGTTGTTTGTCGTTGCGGTGGTGGTGCAACGTTGGTGGTGCGATTTTGCAGCTTAATGGCGGGTGAACTTTACACTGGAAAAACTGTTGTCTCTGATACAGATCAAACTCAAAGTATATTTAATAAAAATTGGTGCAATTACCTGCATTTGCAATCTAATGAACTTGATATATTCCGATATAAGGAGGTAGTGCAATCAATTAATGCAGCAGCCAACGCCGAGGATGGCTTACACACATAAAAATGTTTCCTCGCAGTTTTGATGGTGGTGGTGCAGCACAAGTGCAGCTCCACATGTGACTATATGTGTGTGTGTGTGTATGTGTGTGCTATGAATAAGACAGGACGAAAACTTGGGCTTTTGACTTTGGCAGCGCCATGGAGCCGAGTCAGGCAGCCAGGCACGGTTAATAAAACAGACAAACACTCAAACTTTTGCTATAAAAATATCCAGCTAGTGTGTGTGAGCGAGTTTTTTAAGTTGCCAGCGTTGTTTGCTTGCTAAACAAGTGCTATTAAAAGAGCATAAAAAGGTGGAAGGTGAATTGCGATTGGGGAGTGGGGAATGGGGATGTGGGATGGGGCCAAAGACAAAAGGAAGCCCAGCCAGCATTCAGACATCGTTAAGGTCCTGGTTGTTCTGGTAGCAGGATGCGCCACTCCCTATGCCGTAATAAGCCCCGGCAAATCTTCATGCAAACTCAGAGTTTTTATATTTGGCAGCTTAGGTGCACTTTTGCAGTTGTCCTTTTGGCGTTCTTAATGCACTGCACGGTGAAAAAAAATATGTATAAGAATGAGAAACAAAAGCCGGAGCGGACCCAGTACATGATGCAGTAAAATTTTATGCGCTTAGTTTTTATTGCGGAATATTTTGCATGGCAGGGCAGTATAAAGAATTATCCACTAAAACTGTTGTAAAGCGAGTCAAGTGTTTGTTAAGAAGCACAGCTTACAGCTTCTCCCAACTGGAGAGCCAAACGAAACTTTGGCCCCGACCCTTTTATGGTGCACCCAATTTCGAGCTCGATGCGTTTGCGTTTGTGCGGCCAACGGGGCGTATGAGTAACATGTGCACTTTATGGAGGAAAGGGGCCTATTTGTTTTATTTATATTTCGCCGCGCTGTGCCATTTTGAGCGCGCATATTAAACAGGACATGGCTGTTTGTGTGGCCGTGGCATCGGGACTGGCAGGCCAGCGGGCAGGATAACACGGAGGCCCAGAGACACGGCCAAAGTGCAAAATGCAGTAAAATATTGAAATTGTACAGTTCCCGTTGTGCAATGAGCCGCAATGCCAGCGACGTTTCAGTGTTCTCTCTGCACTATTTTTGTATTTTTTTTCCTTTTTTTGCTGCACTCACATGTGGGGAAGAATTTTGATTTTACGTGACTGGCATGCGACGATTGCAGTGTGGGTGGTGGCACTTCCATACTGAAAAATAAAATAGTTCGAAGCGAAACATTCGGTGCTCGATTGTGGGTGGGTGACTTTGGAGCAGATTTTCTCTTATTTCCAATTAGCATTGCAAATTCATTTGCAGTTTATCGGGCTGAAATAATTCCACAGAACTCTGGCTGGAATCGCCAATAATTTGAAGTTCTGCAAATGCATCCATTCAGGCATTGATGTGTGATTCCTGGCAATGAATGTGTTCTTCCATAAGCCATTACCCTTTGTTCAGGTTTCGAGATGTCTCGAAATTATTCTTGGTCTCATTTATTTGGGGGTGTAATTTATAAGCCATTAGTCATAGAAATGTTAATAATCGAAATGTATATAAATTTGAAGTATTCTCACTAAATAAGGCATCAATTCTGGTAAATCGACTGCAAATCCCTTCCGGTTTCCCAAGAAAATAAGAAGACGACAAGGCATTTGTTTTTAATTTTGTTTTTCTGTTTTTTGATTAACATTTTTCCATTTTATTTGATTATTTCTCTCTTGCTCGGCTGCAATCGCTGGCAGCGCCTTTTTCTATGCATATATTAACGTGTTTGCAGCCACACACTCAAGTGTGCGTAAGTGTGGGTGTGTGTGTGTGTGATTGCGTGGGTGTTGGTGTGGGCATTTACGTGTATTTGTGAGTTTGTTCCGGGGCCTCGTTCGGTTTTGATTGAATTGGATAGGCTTTTGATAGGCGCTTAACATAATTATGGCATTTTGCTTGCACACTTTTCATAATTCTCTTTTTCATACTGTTTGTTTGTTTGTTTATTTTCCATTCTCCGATTTTCCTGCTGCTGTCACAAATGCAATTATATAGGCGAGTTGCTGGGTTGGTTGTTTGGATCTGATGGGCGCTATTTAATGATCTATCATATGTCTGCGCTGGGCCTTTGCAAAAACAGATGCTCTCCTGCAGCTTTGTTTGCACTCGGCTTTGTGTTTTTTTTGGTTTTTTTTTTTTTGTTTTTACATGTATATGCAAATATTAATACAATTTCCTTTTAGTTAGTTTGCCTTTGTTATGCGCACATATATCTTGCTTTTAATTATATGTTTTTTAGATATACCTTTTTCATATTTTTATATGTACATACACAACATTGAATCATTTATTTATATTTCTTTCGCTTACACCATAACTATGTTTATATAATTAAATATAATTATGCTATTATGTATATGTCGTAGAGTATTTCTGATTTTTTCTTCCGTTTCATTAAATTTACTTCGTAATTTTACCATAATTTTCCAACATTTCCAACATACGTTCAGCTACAATTTTTATTTAATTTTCATTGATTTTCCATATATTTTCATTATTTATATATTTATATTTACGCATAGCTTGCTCTGACACACAGTTTTCTTGTCTGCTCAAATAACATTTAGTATATATATATATATATATACATATATGTATGTATATATTGGTGTATATATATAGATTTGTATATATGTAAAGTGATGCATCCGTCGATGCACAGTTTGTCGTTGGCTTTCAAAAACATGTTATGCCAAGTTGAAAAAATAAATCAGTTTCCTTTGTCCGTAACATCGATTTGCTCTCATCACAACTTATAGAAATTAGACACGCTTCTTTTGGCTCCACTCCGATTATCCAATTGAAAGATTTCTAATTTTGATTTCTCCGTTTTTGCATTATGAATTACTTTTTCTCAATTTTCGTTTTCTTTGGTATGTAAAAAATAGTTTACAATTTGTATTCGCATTCGTTTCCGTTTCCTAGCCATTTTTCCTTTGTAAATACCATAAATAATTGTGTTTAGGTTTACATTTTAGTGTATAGTGTTACAGTTACTCTTACGATTCTTAGCTACACATTGACTACAATTTGTATTTTGCTTTTGCTACACGTTTTTCTTTCATATCCTTTTCTAAATATTTCGCTATTTCCTTAGTTTCTTATAGGTTACCTTAATACATTTACACGTTACACAAACACAGATACATGAATAAGGATCCTTACGTGTGAGTGTGTGCGTGCCTGCGTATGCGTTTGCTTGTGTGTGTATGTGTAGTAGCCTCTTCTATGGGTATCGTTTAGGATATATAGTTTGATCTAGTCATGGGTCCATCTACATGTATATATTCTCTGGCTCAATCGATCCGTTCTGTTTTCAGTGCAACTATCTACGCGATTTCTGGTGTGTTCTTCAATTTCGGGTTCGGTTTAGTTGTCGGTGCTTAACTCAGTTAGTACATTTACTTTGATATTTTTCTAGATAATGCTGGATAACACTCATAGTTGTGACTCAACTGATCAATGCTAATGCTAGACCATTTGGCTGGCCCTTGACTACTTGCTAATTCTTAGACCTATGCACATCGATATATCGGTGAAATGATCATCGGAATGGAATCTACTGGAAAATCATAGGTTCAATGAATTTAATCGAAGATGGGGTCAATTTTCCAAAATAGTTCTCAGTCAACGAAACATATTTGCCTTAACCTTTTGTTTGTTTGCTTACTCTACGCTTAAGTATTACTTTCGGTCTGTTATGCATTCTTTTGCTATCTGAAACGTAAGCCCTGGTAAATCATAACCACTTTCTTAGTAGCACCCACTCTATTCTTACTCTGGTATATACATACCTACATACTCGTCTATACGTTTATACCTACTAAAATACATTTAGAGCTTCTCGTGTTTTCTTTATTAATATATTTTCCTTTTCGACTGAGGCGACTTCCTCGAACCGCAGGAAAGTCCCTCAAAAATAGACACAAATAACACACATTTAAACTTTGGTTTTCGGGTTAACCGTTTTGGTTTTCGATTGATTAGATCAACTTTGGGTTTCGACTATTGCACTTTCTGGCCTGTGTGGTTGCTGCTGTCGCCATGGCGTATACTTAATCTAGGGTAAGATTTCGTTCACGTGTAATGCTGCACCTTCCTACACCTCGGACATGCCATAAACCTGAGCCACTGGTGGTTGTTGCTGCTCGTTGTTTGCGACCTGCTGCTGCTGCTGTTGCTGTTGCTGCTGCTGCTGCTGTTGCTGCTGCTGCTGCACCCAGTGCGATGGATAGTACAGTTGGTGGATATAGTGTTGCTGCTGCTGCTGTTGCTGCTGATGCTGGTTGTGTGTGTGCTGCTGCTGCAGTTGGTGGTGCTGCAGCTGCTGCGTTTGGTAGGGCGACTCTTTCACATATTCCCCGGACGTCTGCTGCTCATGTTGCTGCTGCAGCATCTGCTGTTGCTGCTGCTGCTGCTGTTGCTGCTGCTGTTGCTGCTGCTGTTGCTGCTGCTGGTGCTGCTGTGTGGGATACATGGCCATCCCTCATGGCAGCTACACGAGCAGACTGGGCGCCAGCCACTCGTCCTCCGCCAGCTAAACGATGTACAATCGTTAGGCACCGCCACATCATCGAAATCCTCGAGCACTCACCTGTGGACTGACCTGGAACTGCTGCATCGGATAGGCGACCACTCCGGCCGCCTGCGGCAATGCACTGCCCACGCTCTGTGTGATCTGCGGCGCAGTGGCTGCCGCTGCACTGGCCAGCTGGGGCTGGGGCGGCACACTCTGCCAGGTGCCAGGCAGCTGGACGCCCATTCTGAAGTAGCAAAAATAATATGCAGGGCATAAATAAGGGGCATAACTAAGGGGTATATCTTTGCTACAGTATCAAGACTACTTTTCTGCCCCAAGCTAGATGTCGAACTCACCCCATGTATCCAGCCTGCTGGTAGCCGGCGAATTGACCGTAGGTGAATCCTTGCATGCCCTGCAGGAACTGTCCTGGCTGGAGGGCGCTGGCGGGAGCTGCCGCCGGATATGTGGGTGCCGGCGGGTACCAGTATCCGGCCACCTGCTGTCCGTAGGCAGCCGCTGCGGCCGCCGCAGCCGCCGAGCCGAAGGGGAATCCCTGGGCCAAGGCCCCACCGGCAATGGCCGACATGTGGTTGGGGTCACCACTCTCCTTGCCCCACGCACATTTCACCGGCTGCTGGTTGATCTCCGTGTTGTTAACGGCCACGATGGCGTGGGTGGCCGCCTCCTTGGTGGAGAAGCTAAGAGGGAAGAGCGCAAATTGGTTTTTCTTATTTCTCTAAATATGTCTCGTTTGAAATCATTTATTTAATAAATATCTTAAGAACGTGATTGGGTTGGTAGGGAAAAAATTAAAAAATTATTTTAATTCGGTAGCAGTCATAAAAAATATTTAATTTATAATTAGCTAGCAGATATATCTTTAGTACTCTCATTTTTGGATTTTTGTTTTTGGGAAGCAGGCAGCAGATTGGCCTGGTTTAATTTCCGCTTAACCCGCTGCGGCAACAAAGCGCAAAAGTGGTACAAGCGTCTATGGAATAATTCCGCTGTTGCTGGATTGGTTATAATGATGCAGCAACTCTGCCACAGCTGCTGCTGCACTTGTAGTCCCCGAGCTCATTATGTTACAAAATGCCAAACAATGCCTCCGCTCCGCTCCGCCTCCTGCCCCTGCCCCTGCCTCCTCCCTTTCACTCACTTTCTCCTCGACTTTCTTTTCCCCTTCGCCGCTTTTTTTGCATCACGTTTGCAACACACAAATGAGTTTTGGAGCAGTGCACAAAAGGCGCCCATGGACATGGCCAGTAACTGCAATGCGTTTGTTGCCCACCCCTCTCGCGTTCATCACACTTCACACGTGCACTGCACAAAAAGGGCTACTAGTACTGCACAAAAATAAAGAGTTTTTAGAGTGGAGATATTTAATTTCACCCGTCCTAACTTTTTTGAATAAGAAAATAACTTTATCTTAAACATGATAATCTATGATAATATCTGCCTGCCTTATAATTTAAAAGCAGATATTTCTTTCAGTGAGTGAATCCTATCCGTATCTGCCCTTTTGGTTGCGGTGGGGTGAACTCAGTCCGTCGTGGGCCAACGGCTGCCATTAAAACCCTATCAGCATTCGTGACGGCAGCTGCGATCTCCACCGCCGACACCACCAGCACCACCGGCACCCAACCACCTCTGCACCTCTGCACCACCGACTCCTTAGCTGGGGGTTTATCCCCCACGTTTTCTTTTTTTTTTGGTTTTTACTCTTTGCCGTGCCATCGTTGTCGTCGCTGTTATTGCGGTTCATTGTTCTGTTTGTAACTTCAAATTTGCCTCTCGATGTTGCTGTTGCTGCATTCCCTGTTATTGTTGTCGAGTGTAAAAGTGTTGTTGATTTATTAACGGCAAGCGGTTTGGATGGGGCCACGCACACATTTATATGGCGTGGTGTGTGTGCATCGGCGACGATGACAATGGGAATACACCGATGACACCGCAGACCGCAGCACACGCACACCCATGCAGGCGGCAAATCAAAATGGCGGCCCACAATGGGTTAATGTAGCACACTTATTGGGGCACACAAAATGGGGAAGATTGCTCCATTATTTGATCGATTGCCTGATCGTTCACTGTATGGTGGGGTACTTAAGTAATATGGGAGTACAAAAAATATAAACTTATAATGATAATAAAAAATCATGTGCATAAGCTTTTGAATAATATATTTAATGTTTCGACTTAAAAACATATTTTAAAATAAGGCATTTTATGGATTTTTTGATTAAAGATTTTCCTGTCCACTTACCGCACGAATGCATATCCTTTGTCCTTGAAGACCCGTATCTCCTGTATTGTGCCGTACGGCGAGAAGGTCTTCTGCAGGATCTCCTCGTTGAGGAAGCCGGAGAGGGCTCCGTTGATGCCGCCACAGTAGACAGTGCAATTGGTGGGGCTGCTCTGGTTGTAGACCTCGTCAAAGGTCAGCGGCTTGGCGTTCACTGAGGAAGAGCGAGATGTGACAGTGAGATGCGGGATGGCTGGGTGGTTTGGATTGGATGGTGCTTGGTGGTTCAGTTGGATGCGATACTCACTGTCTGCCTTGGTTGCCGGCGGCTTTCGTGTGGCCCAATTTGTGCGTATCGAGCGCGAGCCCAGCCATTGGCCATTCATTGCAGTGATGGCGGTTTCCGCCTCCTGCAACGAGCCAAATTAAATGGAGAGCGCAATTAGCTAAGAGCCCATTCCATTTACGCGGGCTTGTCTAGCCGCTTAAGCCGCTTACGGCGGCTGCTAAGTCGCCTCGAAAGACTGCACTTGGTTTTTAAGTAGAGATCCCAGCCCAAAAATTTATAAACAAACAGCTCAGAAAGTGTTAAGGCAGAAGCAACCAAAGTAGCACTTGGAGAAATATAATTATTCATTAACTACTCGCAATCCTGCCGAAGTGAGCGGAAAAAGTTTACATTTCTAACAATTTAATGTGAAATAATTGCTGATTAAATTGTTTTTTTTTTATATTTAAGTAATGCAAATGTAAGTCTAGTAATAATTTTTTCGAGTGCCTAAGTAGCGACGAAAAAATAAAAAGAACGTGGAAAAACAATCGCGTTGGAAAGTTGCTCCTTGTGGTTAGCAGGCGACATTGTAGCTGCTGCTCTTTGATTTTCCTTGGCTGCGTTTGTGTAAAGTACAGTAAAAGCGGGGGGAAGTGGGCGGCGGTGGAGGGAAGGGCGGGCTATATACGTAGCATTTACAAGGCCGTGCACAAATTATAATTTCAATTTCGCATAAAAGGTAATTCGTGCGTATCAAACGTGATTCATGCCGAAATGATTGCAACTGCCAGGAGGTCTTGCATGCAGTCTGCTTTCCCTGTGTGCGTGTGTGTGTGCGCTTGAGAGTATTTCCGTGTATGTGTGGTGGGCGTTTCATAGCAATTTACTTGCGGCACACCAAAAGACCGAAGACCGAAGACCGAAACCGAGCGGAGCCGGCTAAAGCAATGCAATGCAATAATGGCATTTGCGGCGCTGCAGACGCTGCAGCTGCTCATTGCACGTCCTTTAAATGGCGGCAAAGTCGAATCCGCATCCGGATACGACTGCGGCTGGCAGCAACTGTAACTAGGCACCTACAACAGCCCGCCCACCTTCCATCCTTCTTCCCTTCTTTTTTTCCATTAATTTTCCTACTCTTTGTGGCGGCTACGTGCAGCGCTCGAAATCAGCGTTGACGTGCACCGGCTGAAAAACGACGTTTTCCAACCGAAAGCAGACTCGAACTTTAGAGGGGAAAACTTTCGAGGGTTTTCAAGAGCAGATCTCACTCGAGGGGTCTGTAATTGCTAAGCGTTTATAGACCTTCCTCAATCCTTAAATATATTTGATTCTCATCCAGAACCAGGGTCTGGAAATAGTACAAACATTTAAGCTCAAATCCATTAATTTTCCCAGAAGCTCTCGGTAAAATATATACAAATTACGCATTAAAGTCGTTTGTTAAATAGCTCTTACATGGTACTTAAAATCGCTCTGCGTAAATTGCTGTGTATTGGTTTTCTTGGCCCTGTAATTTAACCACTTGAGTAAGAGTCAACAATTGAGTGCTTGCCCCGTCAGCGATAAACCACGCAACTGTCGCCCAACTTTGTCCGTAATTTAATGTCTGCATGTGTGAGTGCCAGGATGTGTATGTGTGTGGACTCCTATGTTTGCCTGTGTGCGTTTGTTCCCGGGCAACGTCGCTCAGCTTGCGTGCGTGCGCATTTTTATGCATTGCCAGTTGCATTTTTCATATTTGCATAAACTATAAATTTTACATTTTTTAAGCGATACGCATCGTTGATTACATATACACTCACGTTCCCTCGCTGCAGCAACAGCAACAACAGCAACAACAATAACGACAGCAATGGCAACCACAACAAGAACAAGTCCTGCAAACAATACCACAATACCCATCCCCCCTCCTGCGATTTTCTGCCGGGCATGAAATGTTATTTAAATATTTCACCAATGACTTTACGGCAGCTTAAAGCCTAGCCCTTTTCGCCTGATTGTTCGTCCTCTCGCACCGGGAAACATCCTTCAGGATTTATCAAAGGACAGACACTTCAAGTGCAGTTACAAGTGCAGCTGTGCCGCTTTCTTCTTTGCCAATTCCAATTGCAATCGCATGTGTCAATGAAAATTGTCTTGCCATGATTGTGTGTGGATTAGAGGAATGAGACGGAGAGTTTGTTAGAACAACTTTGGCCCTGGCTAATGCAATGGCCCGGACCAGACACACGCACACACACGCAAAAACTTGTCCTAACTGCAACGGACATTTTCGGTCGAGTCCTCCAGTTTTTCCAGTTCTCCCAGTTTTCCCAGCTTTGACAAGTCTTTGAAGACAGGAAACTTTATCAATCATTTTGGTGGCAAATTGCTTAGAAAACAGGAAGTGGATGCTAGTGAAAAGAGAAAGCAAGTTAACAGAATAATTTTTATAAAAATAAATACAAAATGAATACTTGCTTCGATTTAATCCACCTTGACTCGGAAATCTTCAAGCACCCTGAATGAGTTGATTATAGCACAATTTCGGGCCTCAAGAGCCCCTCAAGTAATTTACCAATTCATCTTGCTCAAATTGGGAGCCCGATGACCGCAATATGGCACCCACTACGACTTGTCGAACTATTTATGAAAGTCCGGCCCAAAAACCGAATCGAAACCAAAACTGTTGTTGGCAAGAATGCCTAGGCTAATTGCAAAACTACGGCATTGGCTCAAGATCAGGAGACAGACGACAATGGAAACTGGTCTGGGTTTTGGCCCATTTCGCATCATTGGCAGTTGGAGCGACACATTTTCTTTGTGTGCGGTTTTGGCTGTTGTTTGTTGACTGGGCGAATTTAATTAATGGTGAATGGCAAATTTGCAGCTAATAGGAGGAAAACTTGAATCGTTTTCTGGTCTGTCGCTGTGACAACTAACTTGTCGTGCACTGAACAAAAACGAGCTTCACTGGGGTGATAAAGTCCTAAATATTTCCTTCAACACTTTGATGCAGATGGAATAGATACATGCATATGTCACATATATTTCTGCAATCGTGAACGATTCGAGCTTAAACTCGCCTTTGATTAAAACTTCGGGCCTGCTTCGAAGTTTTTCCTTGTCGCTGGAAAATTTCCTAAATGACAACTTCCGCCTTCGAGATAAGTTAATTAATTTTCATGGACATGGCTGGCTGAAAACTTTTCCCCTTCCGCGACACTCAAATTTAAGAACATTTTTCGCTGCGTACAGATTGAATTTTCAGCGAAACTTGTGTAAAGTCAACTGGGACCTAGAGTGAGACCCGGGTCTTTTGTAAATATTGATTACTTGATAAGGCGCAGAATCCTTTAATGCTGCGTACCGTGGACCATGGCCAACAGCGGAAACGAGTTGGGATGGACCAAAGTTTCCACGGGGTGGTGGGGTGTTGGAAACCAGACCAAAAAGGCGAAATACCTTCATTAAGCGAATGAAGAAAAGCAAAAGTAAGTTGAAGAATTTTTAAGTGGTTTAAAAGGGTTTTGTCATACTTTTCATGTGGATCTCGACGGGATCAGGAACCCTTTATCTTACGCCACAAAATGGGGGATGCCGCTGGTTGCGGCTGACGTTTCGTGTGTATACAAAACACCGTAAGCCGAAAGCAAGACATTTTAAATGTTTATTAAAACAATAAGGAAATGGTTTGTGCCAAAAACGGAAAAGGCCAGGCGGAAAAGGAAAAACTGTAGCGAAAGAAGGTGAAAAAAGGCCAGCTCGACACACAAAAAGGGGATAATCCCCGCCCGCACATAGACGACACCCTTGGCACATGGACACATTCAGGGAAAATAAGAAGGTTCTGGCTCTTCATGCGGCGACCGTTTTGTCTTAAAAAGGTAGCAGACGCCCAGTATTTAGTGTTGGCCAAGTCCCCTTCTTTCTTATTTTTTCATCGGCTAAAAGGTTTTCCTGCCTTCCCAGCTCCTAAGCTGGTTTAGCTTTGTTCTTCGGTCAGATTCATTAACGTGGCTATTTAGATAAGCGTGAATGTAACCAGCCAACCAATCCCAATCCTAGTCCCAATCCCAAGTTGAATATTAAAGCTGTCCAGATAAAAAAAAGAAAGAAACCAGCATCTCAGCTCACAACTCGCAGTTCCGATGATGATTTTTTGATATTTATAAAATAACTCAAGTGGCAAATCGTTTGCTCAGTGAAAACGCTCTTCCATTTGCGGACTTCTCGAACGATAATGATGGTCGGCATCCAGCATTATGATGTTCTGGCCATCGAAGGGCGCAGATAAGGCCCAGTCATCTTTGAATCTGTCTGGGCCAGTCAACGGTAAAAACTGTTTTCATTCCGCTTAGGCCCAAAACGCTTTTCGATTTTTGACCACACACACATCCAAGTTTTTGGGGGCTTGGGACTGGGTTGTGGGAGTTGTTGACCAAAAAATCAGTATTTCACGCTAGAACGCATTTTTGTCAAGGCATAATTCCATGGGATTTATTTATGTATGTCAGCTCTGGCCGTTGTTTCCCACTCTACTCTAACATTTTTTATAGTTACTGCCTCCGAGGCTTGAGCTTATGCGTGTGTAGGCAGTTTGTAAGCCGTGGTGTCCCTACATCGCCCTCAAATCACTAGTTCCTGAATTATTATGGAAAGCATAAAATGAATGTCCAGGCCATTTATATTTATAACCGAGTTTTGTACGCTTCAGCAAATTTATTGCCTGGCTTGAAATTAAATAAATTGAAAAGCACTGGGGCGGGGGAAAACTTTAAAGGCGGCCAGAAATATCGGAAATGTTTTGGGGTATTGGCAAGAAATCTGTTTGACAAATTAGCTGTGATTTCTGCATATGTCCTGCAATAGAGCAGTGTCCTTTGAAACCAAATTGATTTACGCTTGCTTGGAGATTGGTTTACATTTTTGCTGATATGCGTATATACTTCAATTATGTGTAGATGAAGCACTTTTTATTCAACGAACACATAAATAGGTGCCCAAAAAAGTAGTTAGCATCGAAGGGGCAATCAATCTCATGGCGGTTGCTGATGTTTCTCATAATTTTGGCTATGGCAAGACGGCACGTAGCGCAAATTAAGGCCAATGTATGCGGAATGCTTTTTAATTTAAGTGCACATGCACATGACAAGCAGGCAGCAGGAGCAACACGCAACGGAATCATAAAGGAAACATCACCACTGCCATTGGAGTGGGTGGCTGGGCGGTTGGGCGGTTGGGTGGTGCGAGGTTAACCACAGGCATTCTGTGCGCCGCGACAACGGCAGCAGCGACAACAATAAGAACAAATGATAATAATGCAACAATGAACTGCACAAGAAGATGATGAAAAGAATGGGGGGCGTGGCCGGGAAGTCGACATTATATCTTGTTCGCTGCACACATTGTCAATTCGCTTGCCTCCTCCTCATGCATTTCTTTTATTTGTATTCGTTATTTTTTGTATTTTTTTTTGGCCCTGCTGCCATCTTCTGTTGTGGCAACTTTTAAATAAATTTAAGTGCATTATACAACGAAAAATCTGTCGTGGCAAGCAAAACGAGGCAAGGCGGTGGGCGTAATGCGATTAAATGCATCTCGGGCCCTGAGCCTGCCTTTGTCTCCATAACGTTGGCAAATAAGTTTTGTGTCAAAAAGAAAAGCCACTCAAGATGCAGCAGGCGGTGATTTCCTCTTCCTGAATGTGCTGATCGCCCTTTATTTTTGCCATGTGAGTATGCAATAATATGTTAATATCCTCGCCTGTGTGACAATAACAGAAGCCGTCGGCAATGGCGAAAGGCATTAGCATTTCCGGTGGAGCAGATAGTACTGCACGGGAAAAAATACTTGCCTCCAATCATACTTAATTTTTTATTATAAACATAATATGGAAATCAATTGAGAGGTGTCAATGGAAAGATATCTTCTTCCTTACAAGAAAAATACAATATTAACATTAGTAAGTGCCTGTATCAAGTGCACCTGATTGATTGCTGGTTTCTCCGAGTGTATTCCTACCCTGGCATCGACATGTTTATTGCGTTTAATGCTAGCGTAAATTTTTTCGCACTCGCTGGCGTTGTTGTTGTGATTTATGATGCTAATGACACGCAGACAGGCATCGTCTTCCCAAGAAGAGCTACCCATGCAAATGCTCAGCTTGCCTTGATGGTTATTAAATTATGGCAATTTGTATGCGTCGCGCAGGAGGTGGAAAGGCAAAGGAGCTGGCTTGAGGGGGGAGGTAATGCTCTGGTGTTTATTTAAAACATGTTGCCAAACAATTTACGTTAAATATTTCTCGAGATGCTTGAGCAGATCTGGCATTTTGGCATTGGGTTTATGCAAAGCCATGGCGATTGGCAGAATTTCATGCGCCGGCAAACGGAAGTGCTGAATGAAAGAAAACTGTTTCTTCCTTTTCCGCTTGCAGTTGCCATTGCAATGCGCTCACATGCGAGTGTATGCGTGTGTGTGCGAGTGTGTGTGTGTGTGTGCAGTAAGCCATTCGAAAAATAACTTTTCAATTTCCGCAAAACCACAGAAAATATCAACTTTGCACAAAAATTTAATAAAACTTTTCGCATAAATAAAATTTGCATTAAATCAGCTGCAAGCGACGCCGGGTCTCAGGGACAAGGGGGCGTGGCGGCTTAGGGCGTTCCGACTGTGTACAAAACGCATGTCGAGAAACTTAATTTGAAATATTTGAGTTTGCTATTTGGTCTGTGAGTGTGTGTGTGTTTGCACTTCTTCCTCTTTTCGTTTGCATCGAAACTAATCGAGAAAGTTCGAAAATTGGCATCCCATTCCCCACTTGCAGCAGCACAAAAAGTTAACTAGTTAGCTGGGGAAAAGCATTAAGTATACGCCGCATTGGCCATAATTCCAACTAAAACAAGTCAGTTGCCAAAAGGCTGCGAACGGAAAGTTCGCTTTTGGCTTAAATATATCTATACATACATATGTATATCGCCGAATGACAGCTGGGCGGGCGATCCAGTGGGCGTGGCAGCAGCCAAGTGTCAGAGATTATGTTGTATTTGCACACGACACATTCCAACGCAAATCCGCGCTCATCGCTTCGATGTCAAACAAATCATTGGCTTGCCTGCCAAATCATTGGGCCATGTCGGCTGCACACTTCATGGCATTAGCATTAAAATTTAATTAATAATTTGGAGCATTTTGCCGCCTAATTGACTAGCGGCACCTTTGGCTTTTACGCCTTCTCCGGGCACTGATTTGGCTTTTCGCAAAGTACATGCGAGCATAAATCTCCGTTTGTGGTTGGTTGGCTTCGGGTTCTAAGCCTTAAGCTTGCGAATTTTTTCTACTCCACTGGCTGACACGCAATTCACTTGGCTTTAGTCAGCCGCCTTTGATGATTTAAACCATGTTTATGCCACGAGTTCTATAAATTTTCGTAATTTCCACGCCAAGATTATGCATCACAGAGGTAATGGTTGTAAAAAACTAAGAACGCCATAGATCTTAATATTTTTCATAAAACTCTATGACCAGTTTACATCAATTTATTTTCACGTAAAGATTGGTACCGAAGAAGTTTTTAAATCGTCTTGAATTTCAGAAGCTGAACAAGTTTCTTGACATGATTTAACCCCAAGGACCTTCCATAAACTGGGTAAAATCCACCCACTGCCGATTTCTCTGCCTCTTTGTCGAATTTTCTACCTATTAGGCACATGAAATTCAATCACAACACACACACAGGGATATGGAGTCCTGCCAGCAGTTACTTGGACCCTTATCAGCTGCGGTTTAAACATATTGAATATGATGTGTAAATGTTTACAGTGCCCCAAGGGTGGTTTCTTTTTGGGTTATTCTTTCTAGCCTCGGGAGCCCGTGAGATTCGCTGCATCTGTGGCCATAAAAAAACATTACAGATTCGTGAGCCGAACGCTTTTGATATACGAGTGTGTCCATGAGGAAGAGAATAAAATCAAATACTCGCCCCTTGGCAGTTAACCGAGAAAAGGAAAAGCAGAATGCATTAAATCTTAAAAATGTGTGCGCTTCGTTTGGCTTTTCTTTGGCTTATGTATATCTTGAGCAAAAGTGGGGAAAGTGTGGGTGTGGGAAAGGTAGGCGAAGCCACAGGTGTCTTTTGATATGTTAAGTTGCTGGAACGTCAAATGGGATTCCAGCTCCAGCTAAAGTTTCCACTTGTTTTAATTAAGATTTCATTTGCCAAATTCCCCCTTTGTGCGCTTTTGTGTGTGTGCTTACTTAGAGAATTAAACTTGTGTAGCGACTAATGCGAGTTTGATTGAAACATTTCTAATTGCCAGCGAACGAAGCCTTTGATGTTGCAAGTCTGCTGGGATAGCTTACCGATTTCTTGACAAAGCTGACAAAGCCATAGCCCTTTGATTTCAATGTCTGTGGATCACGCACAACTCTGCAGTCTCTGCAAAAAGACGGAGAAAATAAAAAACGTTTAATCTCAAGTAAAACTTTTCCAAGCCAGAGTGGGAAACAATTAAAAGATAGCTTTACATAATTTATTTGGGTAATTTAGAGTTATCTGCCTAATGTTTATACACTTCACATCCAGCACAAAGGTCCTGTTCAGATGGCAGGACCCCTTGAGCAAATTAAAAGGCAAACGTTTGGCCAAGTTGAAGTCGGAAGTAAAAGTCGATGTCGACATGGCGAATCCAATGGAATTACGTGTGAGGAAATATGAAGCGTGGGGCGGAGAAGAGGGATTTCGTAATGGAAGTGCAGAGATATGGAGTGCAGGCCACCGCCTTCGAGGTTGTATCAGTGGGCGTGGCCAAGGGGATTTGCCACCGCCTCCATTCGCTCCATTCGCTCCATCCCCATTTCCCATCCCCATTCTCAATCTCAATACCAATCCCATTCCGAAAACCCGTAGCCCCGCCAAACCACCAAACCACGTGTCGTGCCAAGTCGTGGACGCTGCTGGAGAATCGGGCGTCAGCATTCGGCTTAAATATGTTGGCCCGTCCAACCTAAGCCACGAAGAAATATTTAGCCCCCTTTTCGCTTCGACACCCATGTGTGTGTGCGAGTGTGTGGGCCAACCGCAGCAGCAACAACAAGCTGGCGGAGCTACTAGGCAACCAGTTTAGGCCACTTTGGAAAAGTGTGGGTTCTCTGAAAATTCTGAAAAGAAGTGAGGGCCATTTTAAATACATTTCTTAAAGAAATGTTTATAAAGGCGATTATGTAAATGAAATGCCTCCAATTTCAATTAAGAAAGATTATTAATAAGAATCTTTTTATAATAATTACACATTAATTATCAGAATCTTTTTCATTTGCAGCACTAGTTGTATTGCTTCTCAAGCAATCTATATAGCATCTTTTTTTTGAAAGTGTACGGGAGGCCAGCAAGGCAAACCCGCATGTCGACCACGGCATTTAAAAAAGGCCAACTTGATTGTAAATCACGATAAAAGTCAATTTTTAATATGAGTTTTAGTTTAGTCCGTGTTACCCCCAGTTTTCCCACCCCCCACGTTAAGTGGCTGGCGAAAAAAAGAAGCAAACGTATTTTAATGGCCTTTGGCGCTTTGGCTTTGGTGGGCCGCTTCAAGGCTGTAAATTTATGGGTGGGCTGGCCAGAAGCGAAATTGCAATGCGATTGCCGGCGCGATTCAGTCGATGCACACATAAATATCGAACAAAAAACATATTTAATTAAAGTTTAATATTTATTAGCTACCAGAGGAATTCGGCTGCAATTGCTCGGGGCCGAGGTTTGTCTGGTTTGGTCAGGCGAAAGGTTTTCTGACCGGCGCAAGCAAACACACAAACACGGCATTCTGGCCAACACCAATGCAAACAGGAGGGCAAACACTCTCAGCGAACGTGTATAAATACACTTGAACAAAGTCCTGAACTTGTAAGCAATTTCCTGAGGAACTAAATTGAACTTAAAGAATATTGTTTCGTTCTTAAATATAATACTGACAAGTAAGTACATGGCCTTAATGCCAGCAGATTTCTAGCTTACACTCGTACAGACTTAATTTTGAAGTCTAGCAGTGTTTTTCTCAGTGCGAGGAGCACACACATCCTGGCTGCCTGTCAGCGGGGCTGACTGCCATTGGGAAGGATTGTGCCAACAAATTAAAGGCCAGGACAGTATGTGCACTCCCTTGGAGACCACCCACCCACTCCATCGCCATCTCCCCGGAGTATATCATATTTCACAATCGATAAACATCACAGTTCATATTTTCATAACGTTTTTGTTTGAATATTTTAGCATGCAGACACAACATCAGTGGAGTGGGGAGGTGTACAATTTCCTGCTTGCATGTAAATACAAGTTCGAAAATGTCTGCAAGTGCTCTTCGCTCCACACACACACATGTGAATTGTATATATATAGGAGACTCCATCTGAGGGCTGCAATAATATATTTGAACATTTAACAGAAAACAAACACAACCTTTGTGCCCCGGGCCAAGAGATTTTCGTGGAGGAGCATCGATGGCCCTCGAACTGCGTTTGCCACACAGTTTGTTATCATGCACGAAATGCTTGGGAAATTCGCCGGCAACGGCTGCAGCCAATGGGGGCGGTACATCGGCTGTTGGGGGCGTGGCACCAGCTGTGCCCCATGTTTGTCCAAAGAATTGAGCGACGAAGTCGTTGGGGAGATGCAAAAGACAACCACGAAAGTAGGTTTTCAAAGTGATTGCAATATACCCTTTTCATCTGCCTTAAATGGCAATTATACATTTATCTATTTAAATGAAAGTGATACTAGCTAAAATACATGCAAGTATTTTATTTTCAAGGGACGTATAAAGAGAAATATTTATTTATTGCGGTGGAGTGTCATGGAACACAATTCATGGATTTAAAACCAGTGCCAGGAACTCAGCAAGCTAATGATTCTCGAGTTGTATCACTCAACAATGAAGAACAATTTTAATTCGAAAGCCAAAGGGTAAAAGTTCAAGAACACTTGGGAAAGGGGATAAATGCATGTGCATAAGTAAGATCTGTATGCACATGTACATCCATAAGCCTTTCCGTCTTCCTGTGGCCCCCACTTACTCACGACTCTGGCCAATCAATATATTTTTTACAAATATTGGCAAAAGTTTTGCTCATGGCTTAAGCCCTGTGCCTGATACTCGAAAATAAATTTAACCAGAGGAGAAGGAAAATATTTTGCTATCTTAAGTGCATAAAACTATAATCGTTAAACAAAATATTTCGCATACACGCACGCACTCATACAAATGCGGTTATTTATACTGCATATATATTTTTTTGGCTTTATTCCCAAAGCCTTTGGCCCAGGACTCGAGTAGCTTTTGGCCCGATCTATTTTTGGGGGATTTGTGGGCCGAAAGGACGAAGGAATGTTTGCGGTGTGCGCTGAGCGCATTAGTTGTGGAGTCCTCGCTATTTTGGCCTTTGCAATTGGTTTATGCCAGCAATGCAGCTACCATTCCGGCCCCTTTGCCATGTGTTGGAAATTCTTTTGTATTTGAATTAAAATTGCATAGATGATTTATAGACGCTTCGAAGTTGGCCGGGCGAAATAAACTTATGCATGGGATTTTTGCGCACCACGTTGGTGAAATGGGTGAAATGGGCGAAATGGGAAGTGTAAGCCCATTGATAACTGCATGAGATATAGCTCTTGAGTTTGAGTGGGCTTTTCCCGGTGGCAAACACAAACACAAAATATGAGTGTGATATCGAAAGAGCAACCTTTCCAGCAAGCCAACAAATAAGCACGGAAGCAGTTGAATGTTGGCGTCCATAATTCTTCTGCTCGTAGCCATTGGCCTTTCCTTATCAGCCATTCAAATATAGACATAAGGAAGGCCACAATGGCCAAGACATCGACTAGTAACACATTTATTAGGGCGTAACTCGCCTACGCAACTTAACCAGCAATTTGCAATTTCCTGGCCACTTTAAGAACATTATCTGCACCCCATCGGCACACTTGGCAGACATATAATTTACAAATCGGGCGATCGGAATGGAAGGGGTATAGGAATCGGGTTGGCAGGACATGCTGAACACATCAACAGCGATGGCAAACACAAATTACTCAGCAGTGCAAACAAATGAAAAGCGATAATATCGCGCACAGCACAAGGGAGAATGTACGAGTAGACTGGAGAATGTATATATGTATCTACAGGATTAGCTGAAGCCAAATCAAAATCCTTGGCACTAAATCAATGAATGGCGGTTGTCCTTCAATTTCCTTTTTGGCCACGCTGGTGCAACGAGAAAGGGGAGCTCATCGCATCGCATCTCATCTAGCAGCCAACATCCAACATCCAACATTGACATCATCATCGACATTGAGTTGCGTGTTTGAAATATTGAAATATTTTTGTTGGCCATGTTTACACATCGGGCTATTGACTGCGCACAGTTATTCCGCATTTCGTGTTTTTTTTTTTTTTTGTCGTTTTTCGCCTCCCGGTTTTGAATTTCCATAGCGAATTTTTCACCAAGCATTTTTATTCGATTTGTGTTTGTCTCGTGCTTGCATTTTATTGGCTTCCTCTGCGCCGATAACCCTGATGGCTGATGATGATGATTTCCATTTCCTTGTTCGATTGCAGATCGGGGCGGCATGGAATGGGGGCGTGGCAGAGTTACTTCAGCGCCCGTTCAAATACCGAATACAGTTGTAAATTCAAATGAAATGCAAGCGAGCGCATTGTTTGAGCTCCGAAATGGGTACAAATCGGGTGCGGGGGGTGCAGCTTCAATCCTGGCTTTTTGGTTAGCCAAATATTTAAAGTGGATTTCTTGGAGCATTTCATGAGCTTTCCATTGCGGCTGCCTTCTTTTATTTGATTTGATTTTCCGGCCAGTGGCATCTGCCTTTCCCAGAGAATTAAGTAATAAATTTGGGTTCGAGGCACCCGGCTGCCGAAACCAAATGGCGACCGTGCTGAATTGCGGTGAATTACAAATCCGTAAACGTCGCATCTTTGATGCGGCATGCACTCTGCGAAATGGCCAAAAGTGGCAGAGCCAAACCGAAGGAAAAATAAAACAAGCACAATCGGGGGGAAAAAAAAGCGGAGAAAAGGCGAGCTCATCACGTCCTTGTCCTTGTTCCCTTGGCCAGGACATCCTTACATTTATTTACACCAGCATGCAAAACTCGCATTGAGACAATTTCATGCTCATCTGCATAAAATCAATTCCATTTTGGAGACAATTTGAAGATTGGAATACAAATTTCGAATTATCAACATGGGACCCGACGTCGGGGAGTCGTGGCCAAAATGGCCAAACCGGCAGCGATCGCAATCAGCATTGAGACCTGACCCCCAACTTCATCCATTCTCCATTTCTTTTCAATCCAGCACTGAAAAAAAAAGCTAAGCTAAAAACTCTTCACTTTACGAAGAGACCGCTGAATCGTAAGTTCTAGTTCGG